CTACACATGATTTTAATTTTATTATTCCTAACTAGCATTCTTTGCTCAAAGGCTAACTCACGCTCGGTATATACATTTTCTGCTAAATATTCGTCATTAGGACTGTTCTTTCCTTATATACTATAAATCCAAAATCATAATCTATTTAAACTTATAGTCTAATATTTCTTTTATTTTTAGCTAGCTATCCTAAATAAGTCACTTTCTGATGCTCTTACAGAACATAGCAATATAAAGGCCACCGATATTAATTCATTGACCACAAAGAGGACACTAAAAGCTTCTGCTTGTCTATTTCCCGACTTGAAGCAAGAAGCATTGAGCTTCGATTCGGCTCATAGGCAGGATATTGATCCCTATACGCCTGAAGTCAAGACTTCTGTGGTAAGGATTCCTGCAATAGAGCCGCTTCCAAGTCCAAAAAAGCAAATACAAGAACTCGCCCTCCAGCCTCCAAACCAGAATGATACCGATGAACTGGGAGATTGGTTTATTTAGCTTGATTAAATTTAATTAATATGATATCACTCGTTTCTATTTTTTGTACCATGTACTCATTAACTATTGTCTATAGACAATATCTGATTTTTGATATTCTAGTTTAAATATACCTTTGGCGCCCAAAACATAACTGTTATTGTTTCGATTCTAAGTGCAAATGGTAAAACCCATAAAAACCAAGAATGTAAATTTGTGACCTTAAAAGGCTTAGGCATTGCTTATAAGATGTGACAAAGATATCACTTAATTATTATAAGTAAAGCTGGGTCTAGAGGAATTATGTATTTTCATGCTATTGCATCTTTAATTTCATTTCAATGGGAACTAGAAAGTGGATTATTTTGAAGTTACTACTATTGATTTGTGTGAATAAATCATTGGTTCATCTTCGTGCAATCACGATTAATCCACTTGCTATGTGACAAACAATCTAAACGTGAAATTATCCTTTAATATAGCTCAAAACTCTAGGTTGTGGTCGACTGCGATATAGATTCCTACAACCTGCAAACTTTAGAAGGCATCTTATGATTTTATTGGCTACTCCATACTTGAACATGATCAAAGTTGTGGATACAAAGAGCAACTGGGTTCTGAAGAATCTCCTGAAATAGCTAGGGAGACTTTCATTTCGTATGGAGGTGCACGAAGAGGAGGTTGTTAGGTTGATTCCTGTTGAAATGCAGCCGTTTGGCTATAATACGACGTTCAGGCTGACGCAGTCCACGAGACATCCTCCCTCGTTTCGAGGGAAAACGGGCTGAGCTTTTGTCCGGCATATGATAAAAATCCTTAGAGCTGGAACTCATTCTTGCAAAGTTTCACGGTAACACTATGTGGAAAAGACTGTCCGGCATAGAAATTGTATCATAATGAGCTTTAGTTCTGATTATGTCAATCATGATGGGCAAGGGCTCAGTCCGTTTTCAACCGAAACAAGGGAGGATGTCTCATGGACTGTTTCAACCTCAATGTAGTATTAAAGCAAAACGGCTGCAGTACAATGGAAATCAGGCGGCGTCTTTTGGTGAGATCAACCCACGAATATCTTCATGCCTTTTCTTACGAAATGAAAGTCTCTTCAACAATGATTAAAGTTGCCTATTTTTTAGTTTAGCGTTGATAGCTTTTCAGGTGCAAAAATTACCTGAAGTGATCACTTTTGCTCAACAGGACTTTGCTAGTTCAAAAAACTTCTTGTACTCTTTTTACAAGTCTGATATAAAAAGTTAAATTCACTGATATGATAAGCTCAGGCCTACAGAGAATCCAAAATTTCCAAGGCTAATTATGTGTGGCTTCATATTTATTATAAGGATGGTCTCTTAATGGCTTACTGAGAAAGTTTCGCCTGTTAATACTTCATGAAGGTTCCTAGGCAGGGTGAATTACAGACCAGCGGACTTCACACATTCTCTGGGCTTGGTTGTCGATGCGCCAGGACTATTGCGTCAGCAGTAAAAGTGTTTTACGCGTTAAGAGGCCCAGGCACGATCTTTGATCATCTAGGAACCTCCTTTTCGTCCACTAAATTGTGTACACTGTTCAGGCACTTTGACGTTAAGGAACTCCTTGAAACCGGATATCTCACATTTAATTCTGCAAATAACTAAGGCTAGGTGTGGTAGAGGAAAATGCCGATTCTACTATGGAAGCCAGGCATTGAATTTAAATTTAGATGGATACATGGTATTCCAAATAAGGGATCGAGTATCTTTTTCCCATCGAAGCTTCTATAGATCACAGGCAAATCCAGCAACGCAGCACAAGTAATCCGCAACTCTAAAAAATTCGGCTCTCTAGGCTAGTCCGTGGCCATGGAATGGTTTTCATAGGAGTCATGCCAAATAGGATTTGTGAGTACAAAGAATTTTGAACGCTACCTACGTGTTTCTTCTTTATGAGTCTTTCCTTATGTCTGTTTTTTTTGGGCGAATAAATTCAGAAGTGTTGGTCAAACCTAATGTTTCAGTGTTTGCTCATTGCTTTGACTTATTTGCTATAAACTCTGTCTTTAGTCTGTGCCCTGTGAATCTGCAAAAGCCTCTATTCTACATTATATGTTTTTGCTATTTATTGGCTTCCGATTAAGCCTACTTCACGCACTAACGCTTGAGCTTACTTTTATCCAGTTGTTTCACCATGCATGCGTCATCTGTCGCCGGTTCACCGGAGTAATTGCCTTCTCTATGTTCTTGTTCAGTATTGAACTATTAGGCATCTTCAAAGAGCATGCTGAAGTATATAGCCATGCTTTTAGTTCACGACCTTTTGGGGCATCCCCTCGCTGGTATAACTTGCGCATTACCCTAAACTTATCCAGATATGGATCATTTGAATGCTCAGGCCACTTGGTAAACGTGCCATATTTCATGCCTCCATCCTTCTTCCCTGGATTTGTTGGCAGGAAAGTGGGTCCTACTTGCTTGCTTCGTGTGTACACACTACGAAACTTGCAGCTTGGAGGACCTCCTGGTGCCAAGGGATCACCAGTGAGCCAAGGGTTTTCCTCGAAGCAGTTCAATGGAGGCCGCATTGAAACGAACTCAGGCCGGCCCTTCATCATGGCCTGATGATGCGCTTTTATTTTTTTGGACATCACTCCTATAGTAGATTGGAAGGTATTTCCTTCCTGCCACTCAGGAAACTTGTTAATCGTCACGTCCGGATATCCACATCCTGCACCCTTTTTGCTAGGACTAGTATAGAAGTTGCGCTTTGTCTCTTTGGTGGGCTGTTGGTGGTACACCGTTGCGAAGGCCGGGATTACTTCTGTGAAGTTTCCAAAAAGACTGCCAACCCCAATTTGTTTTTTCCCCGCTGAGTTGGGAATCCAGTTTTTACCGCCAACGAACTTGCCCTTTGGCGCACCCCATAGCTGAGCTTGCTGAACACCCCAGGGCACGTAAGGATCACCTTCGAATATCCGCTTGAATTCAGAGAAGTAGCCTTCCCGGGTGGCACTGCGCGATTTCGAGTACCCTCCGCTCAGATAAAACGGTTTTGCATCCTTTAGTGGCTTAAGCTCACGAAAACAGGGCTGTATGCGCCCAATGTATGGTTCGTTGACATTGATGTAGCTGAGCTCCTTAAAGATTCCGAGTCTTTTTAGGTCAGGCCCTGCCACTTCGGTCATACTTTACGATGATAGGCAGTGAATCGCTCTAGTCGCCGCAATAAAACAGCCAGGACAGGCAAAAACAGGGAATCAAGGATGGTTCAACTGCCAAATTGCACGATTTTCTGGCCACTGGCGATCGATGTGGGGCTTGTCTTTGCAGACTTAATAGATTAGAAAACGAGTAGCGAAACTTAAGGTTTCGTCCATATTCGCCTTTTTATGCGGTCTCATATGACACTAGTCTCAGACAGGTGACTTTACTGTCTTTTTCGTATCGTAGTTGTTACAACTAGTTTTAATTCGGAACTGAAAAATTGCCATCTTTAGAAGAATATGCTGGCGACAAACCCTGAATTGCATTAAAGTTGTCTGAGCTTGTTTTCGCAACTTGGTCATATCAAATCAAGTAGAACCATCACATTTGGGGGATGGCACGCAATAGAATATCATAGAAGAGCGAGAGAAACGGTGGCCATTTCCAATTGGCTATTAATAGATAAGTTTGCTCATAGACGTGGTGCATTAAGTAAAGGCTTTTCCACGAGATTTACCCGGTGCACATGCAGCCCACCGATAGGGGAATCTGCAGCATCAGGTAAGATTGCCATGCCAATTGAGAATCTAGACTTTAGGGGCTTGCTTAGTGAGGCTTTCAAAAGTTTGAGACAATGTGGAACAACGCCGTGAAGGTAGCGCGGATACAGTGGCAGCGATGGAGAGAAATCACTGGAACAGACAGACAAGGGAAGTATCCTACGGCGCAAGAGAGGGACTCTGGTAGGACCTGAAGGAAGAGGATTGTGGAATAAACAGCAGTCTTGGATCGACACTCTCAACAGAGTGGAAGAGATGTAGAAACTAGCGTGGAGAGTGATTAGATTTAAAATAGGACTGTATAAACAAGGAAGAAATTGTGATATTGAAGGGGTGATACGACGATATAGGAGAGGGGAATAGTCCAGGAAAGAAGGAGACATACCACAAATGTTTAGCACACATTTGGTCAAAGGATCGACTTCACTTGACTCTTTGACGAGTTGTAGCTTGGTTGCTGAGAATGGTAGGAATCACTGATGATGCCGACTTAACGTCTGGGAATGTATCCAGTCCTCGGTCCGACTCTGGAAATGATCATGCATACCTTGGACTCAGGACAAGGTGCGTTCCACAAGGTCTTCCTGTCAATATGACCAAATTGCGAAAACAAGGTCAAACAACTTCTATCAGCGAAAGGAAACCGCGACCATACAAAAGGTCACACCATCCTGGTCTTTATAGCTTGAATTACATTACCAGAACAAATGTAAGTAATCCAGGCGTTTTACTAAAACTATTTTATTGTCGTGCCGTCCCACATCGACAAGAGTGAGATGGCCTATGCTTCCCAGAATAGATGAGCTATGGTAACCAGTTGCTATTATGAAAGACTCGGTTGGGTAATGAGAATTCATTTGTCTATGCGTTCTAGTTTTGACTGAGTCCTTAGGGGATTCATACTGAGCCTGTCAAAGATGAAGAGAAGGTTTGACTTTTCCTTTGAATTTAATTTACAATAGGATTGTTCAAAGTTCGTCTTTGCAACTTGTTCTTGCTACTCAAGCTATACCTGGTTTTCGAGATCACAGGTTACACTTGAGTTAGAGCTAAGCCACCCTATGCCATTCAAAGTGATTTAAGGAGGAATAGTAGATATGAAGACCAAGATGGTGCGGCCTTGTGTAAGGTCGCAGTCTCCTTTGGCTTTATAGTGTTGGTTTTTGCAACTTGGTTGCAGCGTAAGGACACAGGACTAGGTGCGCTCCACCAGGTCTTCCCGACACTAAACAGGTTGTAAAAACAGGGTAGAATCAGCATTATAAAGACGGATAATTTAGCTTTCGCACATGGCGCCTCATTGAGCTTTACGTAGCCTTGCCTCCCAAAATGCTACATCATCCAGGAACGGCTGCAGTTTCGACTTTGCTAGGTGTCATCAATAACCCCAGTAGGATTCAATGCTGGCTAGTAGCTAGTGGAGTGTTCACAATCCGGCATAAAATCCCGCTATGGGTGCGAATGAGACCTAGATGAGGATAAAACTGTAGTCCACCCTGGATGAGATGGCATCGTAAGGCCTATTAATCCCATTATGGGAAAGCTCAACTACCAGTCCTTAACTCGACCAGAGGTGACTAGGTTACTGTTCAAGTATTACTGATAGTGCTTTGTGATGTGAGGTCACGAGGTGACTTTCGATGAAATGAGAATATATGTGAAGAAAGCCTTTCAGATGAAGTGTATTGTAATTATTTTAGATCTTAGATATGATATCCAAGATGGTGTGTCCTTCTGTTTGGTGGCACTCTACTCTAGATTTATAGTCTTGATGCCAACTTGTTTTCGCAACATGGTTGGAGCGTTAGGGAGAACTTGTGGAACGTACCTATTTCCGTGTCCTTTGCCATAGTATTACGGATTTCCAGCATTGGGCAATTGGCTAGGTACTTTCCAAAACGTATGGCCGTCATCGCAGTAGGCATCATCAGTAAGAGGCGCCAATTCTATGCGCTCGTTTCCACCACTATCACCTAAGAGTGCGTCGCTACAGGTGGGTTTAGTGAAGCGTAGT